TCTCACTCATTAAACCTATTAATCCTTTTTAATACATATTTCGTCACCCAAATATATGGGAATATTCTACTTTATCGCATCTTGTCGAATCCTTTTTATTTTCCGAAGGTGTGTCACACACTATTATCTGTGTGTAACACAAGTACGCAAACCAAAGCTCCAACTATAGCAATCTATCAAGTTTTAAATTCTTGAGTTTACATATTTTTACAAAAGTTACACATGAATCAAGATTATGACTTCTATTTTAATATATAAAATAGGATTCAACTCTTATTGACGAATCAAATGAAAATTACAAGAAGTTGGGTTTTGTAAAAGAAATTTGCTTCTTTATTTTGACACTAAGGGTCCGAATGATAACGGCGGATTTAATAATATAAGCAGGACGGAATTAAAATGCGGTACGGTCTAACTGTGGTCCATGCGGTTTGCGGGACAAGTGCGGTTTTGACATAATAAACAGTGCGGTTTTGACAAAAAAAGTAAAGCGGTTTTGATAAAAAAGATAATGTATAAAATCCTTTTGAAACAAAAATTCAATTATAATAAACTATTTTACTGTTTTTATTCTTTTCTGTTTATTTGTAAATAAAAATAATTATTTTATTAATATGATAAAATAGTTGAGTAACTAGATTCTTTAACTAGTTTGATTGGTAAATTTTCTTAATAACATTATTGTAATAAATAAATAAAATTTTAATATTGTAATATCAAGTAATAAATTAAACTATATAATTGTATAGTTTTTTAAACCAAATCTAGAACCAAAGTTAAACGATAAAGTCTAACGGCAATAAATATTAGAAACGAACAAAATCATTAATATTTTATTTAAACAATAATACAAATGAGTTATTGAAAAGAAAACCGCACATGTAAAACCGCACCATAACTCATGTCTATTGCAAATAAAAGCGGTTCTTTGATTTACAAGAGTAAACAAAAAAAATGTTTTTTGTTTGAGCCAAGTGCGGTATTTTCCAAATAACGCCCCGCTAATTAACATATTTGGTGATTGGTAACATCTGTCACATCTCTCTCTCACCTCTCCAATTACGCCCCGTCTTTATGTCTCCATTCATAACCTAAATGTTTTATTTTACATTTCTTTCTTGTGGATTGTAATAGAAGTCGAAAGTGGATGAGATCTTCATCCACAACAATTGGCAGGTACGCAGCAGAGTCATCATTGATATAAATGATTGCATTACATATACACGTATGACGTATCCATCCAATCGTGACAAGTATATAATATATATAAGAAATAAATTTCACGTAATACAAATGAACTGCGTGAATAATCCATTTTATCGTAATTATTTACAAATAAATATATGCAGTACAAAATTACAAACTGATATTGACTCGTCTCTAATTTCTACAATGGTATATCACTCGTGGTTGTGGTAGTGGCGTTTGATATATAATCAACTTGGAATGAGTGTTTATTGTATTACCACTCATGACGATCTGATTGACAATCCATTTTTTTTTACATCGAACAGACTCATACTCGACATTTATATAAATTATGTATAATTTTATATATTATTGTCGAAGTGTTTAGTTTAGCATCTGTATGGAATTGGGTACAATATCCCAAATTTAACTATCCATATCATTTTATTTATTTTCGTTCAACTTTTGATTGGAGAGTATTAAACTATATGAATTGACTGCATGTGATTCTTATAGTAAGATCTGTATAATGCGAAAATATATACTGTTCACAGGCCCGGCTTAATATATGTGTGGGCCCAGTGCTACACATTATTTTTTTACTTATGTTAGTGAAATGTTTTAAAAATTGGACCCCTTAATTTAAAAAAATTTCACAATGAAGGCCCTAAATCAGTAAATAAATTTTAACAAAAATAGGAGGATTTAATGCTTTTGCACCTCCAGCACCACCCCAAAGCCAACACTAGAGATGGCAATTGGGCTCTCCCGTCCCGGACCGCTCTGGGTTCGTCTTCTAGCGGGACGCAACGGTCCTATCCCGCGCGGGATGCGGTCTTGTAAACAGCGGCCCAATCTCGTACCGCATTTCTTGTAGGCCTTCGCGGGCCGTCCCGCAGGACATGTGAAATATGTGTTGCTGAACGGTTCAGACCCCTCCGAAACGCTTTAGACCATTTTAGGACATAGTTCAAGTCGTCGATTCAACTGAATATAATTCATCAATCATTGATTTGCTTATTCTTTTATTCAAAACAATAATTATAATTATTTGTATCACAGCCAAAACATATTAACATACGTACAAAGTAAAAATAATTGCAGAAAATATTTTTCATTATCTTATAACTCATAAGTTCATAACCAATATTTTAGTTTGCTGAATCCAAAAATTAAATAAAATGAAACACTAAATCAAAAATCTCAATCCCAAATTAAATAAAAAAGAAACCAAATCAAAACACTACTAAAGCTCGAATCGTCATCGCCGGAGCTGTAGTCGTCATCACCGGAGCTCGAATCATTATCACTGAAGCTCAAATCATCATCATCGCCCGAGCTCACTATGTTTTCTCAAGGGAAGTCACATGAATCGTCTTCTTCTCACTCATTCTCTCGTTTTTCCAGATGAAACAAAAAATAAAGAAAAAAATACGGGTCCTTGTAATCATGCGGGACCCGTTTCGACCCATCCCGCAAAAAACCCAGTCCCGCAAAGACCCATCCCGCAAGGCCCGCAAATTTGCGGACCTAGAAAACCTCGTCCCAATACCGTCCCGCGACAGTTCTTTACGGGCTAAACCCGCGGTCCAGATCCATAATTACCATCTCTAGCCGGCACTGACTGTTCACTCACTGTAATTGTGCCTTTACACTGTTAGCACTGGGTTTTATTTATGAATTATTTTTACTTTAGAACATGTATGCCATGTAATCAACTGTTTATATATTTTTGTTGGTTAAAGATTCTCAAAATTTTTAATCTATGTGACAAAAAAAATGTTAACATAAAAAGAACAGACAACAAATTTATAGTGTGTAGTGTTTTTTTTTGTCACCATAGCGTGTGTAGTGTAGAAATTGTTAGCTGGTGAATTATGTATTCATTTCCCTCTTTAAGAGTTGTGAATCTTCGTGAGCGATGGATTCATGATTCAATTCCTAAAGATTTTCGTTGGTTTCACTGGTATTTCGGTTCAGATTGTGGGTTCTGATGGTCTTCTCACGCGGAAAGTGAGATTGGTTTTAGGTTTCAATGGTCAACATCAATTTTCGTCGATTGAAGATACGATTTCTCGACACGGCGAATCTCGGGATCTAATTTTTACCCAAGATTCCTCCCTCTCACGGAGATCTGGAATTGAATGGAAGATGGTTTCTGGGAATTTTAATGGCTTCAAGTTGGCTGGCTGGATGATACGATTTTCAAATCAAAGGTTCTATTCTGAGATTCCTAGAATTAATGGTGTTTTGATTTTTTGGGTGGATCTTCCTTGGCGATCTCACTTTCCTTACATCTTGTATTTGAAATTTTTGAAAACTATTTTGATTGGCAAACAGATTTTCCACATCTTAGGGATACTGATATATGATCTTATCGATTTTTGTTTCCAAAAACAAATCCTTACGATTTTGATTGCCATATGCTATCAATTTGAGTATATTTTTCTTGCTTCGAAAAGATTAATCAACAGAGCATTGGTTTTACTATATATATCATATAGGACTCTGTTTCGAAATACAGTACAATATCTCACATCGGTCTTTACCATATTATTTTCTTCTTCTGATATTTCTCTTCGTATTGTTTGCTTTCTCTTTTCAGTGGCTCAGTCACAATGGATAACAAAGTCTGGAGGGAAGATGATGGAAGGGGCAAAACCAAAGCTGAAGATATCAGTGCCTCGGTTTGATAATACTGAGTTGATTGCTCAGTATGCAAATACGGTGATTGGCCGGTGCATGAATCCACCAAAGCAGGACATTAGGAATCTTCTTTTCACGCTGCCAAGGTTTTGGAATGTGGAAGGAAGGGTGATTGGTTCTGATTTGGGAGCCGGAAGGTTCACGTTTGATTTTGACCAGGAGGAAGACATAATTGAGGTGTTGAAAATGGAGCCCTTCCATTTCGATCATTGGATGGTCTCTTTGGTGCGGTGGAAGCCAGTCTTGGAACCCAACTATCCCTCCAAGATCACTTTTTGGGTTCGGGTTTTGGATGTTCCTATGCAGTTCTGGGTGGATTCTATTTTCAAGGGTGTTGGCGATGCTCTTGGTCTGGTTAAAGGTGACGTGGATCTGCGAGAAGGTAGGGTGAGAGTGGAACTGGATGGGTTTAAGCCGCTGGTGTTTTCCATGGATGTGAACGTCGATGAGGGAGTGGAGCTGGAGGTTAACCTGCGATATGAGAGATTAGTTGGATATTGTCGGATTTGCTGTTGTATGACGCATTATCAGTCCAGATGTCCTACCAAAGGGGCAGAGATTGATGCTAAAGAACTTGAGGGCCTGAAACCTGAGCAAGGTCACCAAGGTCTAAGTTACAAAGGGGCCTTGGATACTGAAGATGCTGTTTTAAAGGTCCAGGAAGGAGGTGCTGAGGGGCGTAACAAAGGTAAAGGGATGGCAAAGGAAAGACAGGGGCATTACAAAGATGCTGGTCCCTTTTGACAAGGAGGGTCAAACCGTGGTTACAAGGCACGGAATTTTAGGGGACATGGAGAAGGTTCATCTCGAGATGGAGGTCAACATGGATATGCGATTAACACAAGAGGCTTGAGGCAATTGGGAGGTGGTAATGGAGATAATCTTAGTGACCACCAGAGACTTATGATGGACGCATTTAGGGGTGAGAAACATGCTTTACATCATGGACAGGGATCCCAGCAGAGGGGGGATACTGATGTTGTCAAAGGGACTAGAAGGTCTCTTCAGTTTGAGAACCAATTACAGGGGTGGGGCTTGAGGATTCACACAAGAAGACCAGTATTATTGAAGATTCGGAGGGCCAGAAGGAGGTAGAGATTGAGTCGATGGTTAAGGTAGGAGAAAACATTGATATCGATATGGGAGAGGGTGAACAACCTTCATTACCTAATGTCACTAATCTCGAAGAGGAAGGGGCTCTGTTATCAGATTCTGAACTCCTTGATGAAGAGTGGGAGGATGGAGAAGTTCCAGAATTTATGGAAGAGATGGAGGAGACTCTTGTTGCTGCTATGACAGAGCAGGGAAACAATGACATGATCAATGTTACAGAACCAAAGGAAGCAGGTCCAAAGGTGGAAGAGAAAAAAACCGCAAGGGCAGGGACGAGGCTTGTACATAAGCTCCTTTCTCCTCGAAAGAGCAAGATCACCAAGCCAGCAGGGAAGAATGGTGAGGGTAAGAAGGTTGGTAATAAACCTTAAGGTATTTACATCATGGAGGTGCAATTAAACAGTTTTTTTCTGTTCTCTTTTTAAAAATTTCAATTTTAATAATGTTGGATTATACTATAAAATCCAGGAATGTGTTGTTAGTTTCATTTGGTTTCTCATCTTGCTTAGCTTTGATATGGCTTCCGAGTGTTGTTTTGTTTGACCCGAAGTGTAGGGTCCTTGTGGTTCATTTCCTTTTTAATAAAACATTTACGTTATGGTTCACTCTTATGTCTCTGTTTATAGTTTTCTTGTGGTTTTCTATTGTTGCTTCTAATTTTAATAATTTCAACTTGTCTCCCAAGTTATCTCTGTTTCTGTTGGTATATAGGTGGATGAGGTTCTGGTGTATGAACTTTTATAGGTCTTGGAACTACCATTTGGTTATGGTTGATATTGGTCATTTTTGGACTCGATCCAGTAACATATGGCAAGTTTGCCATCGTTTGGTGGGGGCTCATGTACGGTACAAAAGGTTTGTTTGGTTTAAGGTTACACTTTCAGGTTGGTATGGCGTTTCTATGCTACATTTTTGGCGAGTAAATCTGGATAAATGGAGAACTATATTGGTGAATGTGTATAGGAATATTAAGATTTTGTTCCGTCAATGGTTGCTAGGGATGCTTTCAACTTTAGGTTTTGTTTGTTTCATAAGCACATGTTTTCTTTTGCCAATTTTGGGAATCTCAGGGCAGCTCTATCTAGGTTTGGTTGTAAAGGCTGGCAACGTTGGATGATGGAGATGTGGAGGGAGATTAGGCATGCTGCGATCATAGTCAAAACTATCTCGCACATGGAATGTAGCAACTTGCTTGAGTATGATTTCTTGCAAGAAGCTTATGGGTCTCAAGGCTTTTTCAGTCTTCATTATGAATATGAGGCTGGTAATTTCTGGTTTAGCAAATTACCTCATGTACAATGGCTCGGAAAATTCTCAGATTGTCTATTTGACCTTTTATATAGGATTCAAAGTTGGAATACAAGTGGATATAATGATATTTGTTATCGAATACCAGGTTCTGTATGGTTAAATATGGTTCAGTGGATTCACTGTTATGTAATATATTTTGTCAAACAATGGTGCTTACATGGAATGGATGTAGGCTTTTGTCACAGGGTTTATTTAAACGAGTCTCAACAAGTTAAATTATTATTGTTTATGGTCACTTGTCTCCAGTCTCAAATGGGGATGTCGTTGGAGCAAGAAATACTCTTGGAAAAATTTGTAGTCTACTTCAAAGCATCAACGGCTACAGGTTGTATTTTGGTAGATTATGATTTACAATTTAAGGAAAAAGTTTCCATTAACTCTATTGATAAGGACTCTATCGCACAATCTCTTGATTTGGGTATTGATGGACAAAGAGCTGGGGACTTTTTATTTAGCTCAATGATGTTCAAATGGCTAGTCAAGGGAATTTTTCTATTCACAATGGATATAGGCTCTGCGGAGTCTCCTTATATAATCGTACATTAATATTACCTATGAATATTTTGAGTTGGAATTGTAGGGGGTGCTGGTAACTCGGATACCGTTCAACGCATTCGAGACTTGAGGCGTCAGTTTTTTCCGGATTTTTTTGTTTTTAATGGAGACTAAACAAAAGGATTCTTATATGGACGCTTTAAAATCAAGCATGGGATATGATTATTTACATACGGTGGGCCCCATTGGCCGTAGTGGTGGATTAGCTTTAATGTGGAAGGGTTGTTACACTGTCGAGATCTTGTACAGTGATAATAGGATTATCGACCTCAAAGTGACAATGGGCTCTATTGGTTTTTTTATCTCATGTGTATATGGTGACCCAGTACGAGGAAGAAGACGTCTGGTTTGGGATAAACTAACGGACATTGGTGTGGTTCGCGATGAAGCATGGATTTTGGTAGGAGACTTTAACGAATTAATGAATAATGGAGAAAAATTGGGAGGTCCCTTAAGAGATGAAACCACTTTCTTTGATTTCAGAAACATGGCTGAAACATGTAAAATTAGGGAAATGAGAACAACGGGTAATACCCTTTCCTGGGCCGGAAGGCGGGAAATGACGAGTGGTATCGGCTTTTTCCTCAATCGTCCACTGATTACATGAGTATGTGGTCTTCGGATCATAGACCCCTACGTATAGAGTTCGCCCTTGAGCCTGAGAATTTGCAAAGAGGACGGTTTTATTTTGATAAGCGTATGTATGGTAAAAGAGGGGTGTTTGAAGAAATTGTCCGAGGATGGGATGCGGAAAATATTAATTCCAATCTTAGTGTTCTTGATCATATTTCTCGATGCCGGTCGGAGTTATCCAAGCTTAAAAAACAAACGATTGGAATTCTAAAACAAGAATAGAAAGGTTTCAGATTGATTTAGATAAGGAGAGCTCAAAGCAATTTCCAATATATGGGATAATGAGAAAACTAAGACAAGATTTGGCTACGGCTTATAGGGAGGAAGAGATTTTTTTGGAGGCAAAAAAGTAGAGAAGAATGGTTAAGAGAAGGGGACAGAAATACAACATATTTTCATAATGTGGTTAAGGGGAAGAAAATGAGAAATAAGATCTTAATGCTTAAAGATATTTTTGGCAATGAACATTACTCTGAAGGGTCTAAAGGACATATTGCCACCGAATATTACCGAGATTTATTCACCAGTTCCAACCCATGTGATCTGGAAACTTTGTTCGAGGGCTTCGAGTGTAGGGTGACCCCAGAGATGAACACAATGTTAACCAGAGATATATCTCCTGACGAAATTAAGAAGGCGGCCTTTGGGATTAAAAGTAGCAGTGCCCCTGGAGAGGATGAACTTACTTGTTTTTTCTACCAAAAATATTGGCACATTGTGGAACAGAAAATTATCGATGATGTTCAAGGTTTTTTTAGAACAGCCAGTTTGCCGGCTGGATGGAACCATACACAATTATTCCTATTACTAAAAACATTACATCCTACGGAAATGAAGGATATGCATCCTATTTGTCTATGCAGTGTCCAATACAAAATTATTTCTCGTATTCTATGTGATCGGCTGAAGACGGTTTTGCCTAACTTAATATCAGAGACTCAAGGGGCTTTTGTTGGTGGCAGGTTAATTACAGACAATATCATTATAGCACATGAACTGGTGCATGATTTGCGAACAAATGATAAAATTGGAAACGAGTGTATGGCTCTTAAAACAGATATGTCAAAAGCCTATGACCGGGTCGAATGGAATTTCATTGAAGTCTTATTAGAAAAGATGGGATTTGATCATAAATGAGTTGTTTGGTTAATGTCATGCATCACTACTGTCACATTTTCAGTGTTACTTAATGGTCGATCTCATGGTTTTATTAAACCAGAGAGAGGGATACGTCAAGGTGACCCTTTATCTTCTTTTCTCTTCATTTTATGTGCTGAAGCTTTAGTCCATGTTTTAAACAGAGCTGAAGCACAAGGTAGACTACATGATATAAAGTTAGCACCGGGCATCCCTTCCATTCATCATTTGCTTTTTGCTGATGATAGCTTGTTGCTATGTGAAGATTCTGTCAGGGACAGTGAAGAGGTTTTGAGATGTCTAAAAATTTATGGGGATGCGTCTGGACAAATGATTAATCCTTTGAAGTCATCAATCATATTTGGGAAAAAAATTGATGTTGGTACTAAGCAAGCTATAAAAAGTGTTCTATCTATAGAAAAAGAAGGCGGTGAAGGGTCCTACCTAGGCCTTCCGGAATGCTTTCAAGGGTCAAAAATAGATTTACTAAATTTTATAAAAGAAAAATTAGAAGGACAGTTACAGGGATGATACACTAAAACATTATCCATGGGGGCTAAGGAAGTTTTAATAAAATGGGTGGCTCTAGCTCTCCCAATATATGCAATGTCAGTTTTTAAATTATCAAAAGGTCTTTACGAACGTATTACTAGTGCGATTATAGAATTTTGGTGGAGTAGTGGGGATAAAAAAAGGAAGATCTCATGGGTTTCTTGGGAAAAACTATGTAAACCAAAAGAATAGGGGGGTCTTGGGTTTCACAACATTGGTCGTTTCAATCAAGCATTGCTCAGAAAACAAGCTTGGAGGATATCGAATAATCCTGACTCTTTGGTCTCTCGGATTCTTAAAGGTAAATATTTCAAGAATGGAAATTTTCTTGAATGTGGAATGGGAACACGTCCGTCGTACGCATGAAGGAGTATTATGCGTGGGAGAGAGTTACTTAAAAAGGGTTTGTATCGGAATATTGGCAATGGGGCTGATACGAATGTATGGGCGGAAAACTGGATTATTGACACCATTCCTAGGCCGGCAATGTACCATGATAATAGTCCAATTGATTTAACACTAAAAGTGTCGGATTTACTATTACAAGGGTCTTCACAATGGAATATTAATTTATTGTGCCAGACTTTCACAGCTCAAGATGTCCAAAGAATTTTGTTGTTGAAACCATCTTTGGTAATCAACGATTCGATCAGATGGGGATATACACCGAGCGGAACATATTCGACTCGTAGTGGATACAAATTGTTGAAAGACTTGAATGATTTTGATCAACCTCAAGGATCCTCTCTATCTCCAATTGAAAAGCAAGTATGGCGAGATCTGTGGAAAACCAAAGCCCCACCAAAAATAAAACATTTTATGTGGCGTGCTCTATCTGGTGTGTTAGCTGTCAAGCAACGTCTGAACATTCGGGGTATTCCGGTAGACCTAACATGCTCTGTTTGTGGTAATGATACTGAGAGTATATGTCATGTTCTTTTTACATGTGTTAAAGCTCGAGCCACATGGGAGCAGGCTAACTTCCCAATTCCTTTAGGAGGTTTCTCCCGAAATTCTACCTTTCTAAATTTTGTGCATCTGATCAAAATTGGTAAAAACTCATCTACGGATGTACATATAAGAAAAGTTTTCCCATGGCTTTTGTGGGAAATTTGGAAAGCTAGGAACATTTTTCTTTTTGAAAACAAGGTTCTCGAACCCTCCTTTATCGCCAAAAAGGCGTATCAAGAAGAATCTGCTTGGTGTGATACTTTCACAAGCAGGGTAGATGGAGTTGGGGACGTTGAATCAGATGAGATACGATGGATACATCCTCCCAATGGTTCCCTTAAATGTAATGTGGGTTCCTCATGGGTAGACTCAAATCAGTTAAGTGGTGCTTCATGGATCGTTCGGGATGCAGCTGGACATACAATCATCCATAATCGTCGTGCCTACTCTTGTATGCGCACAAAGACAGAAGCAGACTTATGGGCGTTGTTTTAGGCGGTATAATGTCTACATAACTTACATTTCTCCAATGTTATCTTTGAGATATCCTCGGAATGCCTTCGTGAGTTCCTCACAAAGCCGGAAGATCACCCTAGCTTCAGCCATCTACGACATGATATATCCTTTCTTCTTGCAAGGATAGAGTTTTGGAGCCTTGATCACGTACTTCCGGAAAGAAATGAAGCTGCATCGGCAATTGCTGTTAATGTCACCCGAGATAGTCGACCTCAATCATACATCGCCCGAGATGCACCGGCTTGGCTTCAGCATTTACTCACTTTGGAAGCTGGACAATAATGAGAGTTGGTGAGATTTTTTTCCTTTCTCCATGTTTGTGCGGTGTCTATTGACATCCTATTTAATTTCTTATTTTCTGCTTTGTATCAAAACTATTATTTATACATGTTCAAGTGTTATAAAAAAAAGCGTGTGTAATGTATATGACGAGGGCCATATGACTTTTAGGTGTGAATCCATTATAAATTAATAATTTTATTATGTGAAAAGATAGTTAACGATTTTTTTTACAACATCATGGATCAATCATATGAGTATATGATATCACTGTATTACGCAGCTCGCATTACTTCAATTATATGCAACTTGAACGTATTAAAAATTATATAACTTGGAAAACCCCAAAATTGTATGGTTATTAGTATATAGGATCTGAATTGTGGAAATGGTGTAAAAGTTATAAATACTGATTAGAGGAACCTTCCCATAAATGTTGGACCTATATTGGTCCCTTTTTCAAAGCTGGCAATCTCATCCCTTTATCCTAAGCCCTACTAATCTTTTTTGTCCCATGAATTGTATCACATTGGATATATATATATATATATATATATATATATATATATATATATATATATATATATTAACAATTGATACACTGTATTTTCTTCCAATTTGATTGGTTTTTGTTTCGTCTGTAATTCATTATAAATATAATTCCATAATCCTTTGTTAAAATAATAAAAAAGTAATTTCAAATTTTTATGGTTTACACAGAAAAAGACCTCGAACTATTTTGTTTTCAAGACGAAAAAAAAGAGTTAAGATTCAATTGGTAAAATATATATGTTATCGACATCACCCCTACCTAGTACCGACTGACCAAAATATTAACATTTTACATTAGGTATGGCTTATGAGTGTACATGCAGATTTCTAAAGCATAATCATGATTCAAATTGAATTGTATTTCCTTATAAACATTAAACAACGATTCATATTATCCATGTACTAATAATAGCCGATCAGGTTGTATAATTGTATTAACTTATCGTTGGG